CTGTGTGTGTGTCTGTGTGTGTGTCTGTGTGTGTGTCTGTGTGTGTGTCTGTGTGTGTGTCTGTGTGTGTGTCTGTGTGTAGTAATAAATCAGATTATCTCAGATGAGTTTTTTATTTTTTCAGCTGATAAGTTTCATGTCTTGTAGCTGAAGCTGAACCTTTAGCTGGTTCTGGATGTTTTGGGTTCTGCGGGGYGTTCCTCAGGTTCCAACACGTTCTGCAGGCATCTCAAACATCCTCCTGCTCCAGCTGGAGGCGCTGATGGTGTCAGGTTCTGCTGGACCGGACCGGGTCCACACGAAGCAGGCTTTCATCAAACTGAGTGTTTCAAGGTGGTTCTAACAGGACCGGCTCGACCCGGTTTGAGTTTCCATCACCTGGAGGTTTTTTCCTCTGAGCTCAGACCCGGTTCAGGTTCTGTGCTTTGGGTCAGAACACCTCACAGTCCGCTCCTAATTAGGGAAGAATTCTGCTGCGTTGTTTCTGGTTCTGTCTGAGACCTGGACTCTGGATCAGTGGACTCTGGTCCAGAGTCCACTGATCCAGAGTCCAGGTCTCAGACAGGTCTGTGGACCCAGAAACCAGATGTGTGGACCCATCAGGACCGGTTCTGGAGCAGATAACTCTCTGTGTGACTGACAGCTTTAAGGTTTGATTGACAGCTCTCAGAGCCAATAGGAGCCTCTCCGGTGTTTTCTGTAAACTTCGGCCACTTCCTGAGCTTCAGCTGATGTTTTCATGATGAAGGGTTGTTGGTTTGGGTCTGGGAGGTTCTGGTGGGGCGTGTCAGAGTGGGAGGGGTCAGGAGGACCCCCCCCCCCCCTGCAGGCAGGGTTTTAGTCAAAGAGTGGCTCTGATTGTTGGAGGTCTGGACCCTCCCCCTCCCTCCCTGCAGGGACTGGATCAGGGTTTCAGACCGGATCAGGCTGTGAGACGGGTCAGAGATGGAGGCGAGGTTCAGGGACTCCTCAGACAGTGACACGGTCTTCGTGGAGGACTCGTACTACCAGGGTCTGCTCAGGGCCACGGACCATCGCAAAGGTAGTGTCTCATCTTCTGGGTCGGGTCCAAAAGGGACGTCTTTATTTAGTCTGAGTTGTGGAGCTGAGCGGTTCTGGTTCCCTCTAATCACTGGGACCACACCCCTTCACGTGTCACATGATCCGTGTGTGTGCCGCACTCCTAACGCAGCAGGAACACTTTGATCTTTGATCAGAAGATAACAAGGTTCTGATTCACGGACCTGGTGAAGTCCGGTCTCTGTGGTTCTGTGTCTGATCCGGTCTGGACTTTTTGATGGTTCTGGACTGAGCAGAACCTGCAGGTACTGTATGTGGGGGGAAGGAAGTTCTGAACCTGAAGTCCAAGTTCCTGCAGAGCAGAGGATTCCTCAGGTTCTGCTCCTCGTCCCCTTAGTAAAGAGTACTACGTCCGTTAAGTACTAATACTATACTTATAAATAAGAGTATACTTCCAGTTTACTTTTTGTGTACTTATCTGAGATGTACACTATATTTTTCTAGTACTAAAAGTTAAAGTATATTTAGTCTAAATGTTTAAACCTTTGACCAAGATAAACTTCAGTAGTACACTGTAAGTACATTCTCACACAGACTGGTTTATTTGTAGTATATTTCAAAATGTACTTAGATTACTTTCAGTATACTTCTGAGTATACTTTCATAAACTTATTGTGGGCCAGTTTAATCCTAGAATTATACTTGTTAGTGAACTGCTAGTATACTTTTATCAGAGTACACAGTAAATAAAAGTACACTTAGGGAAATACACTTTTATATACTATAGTATACTTAATGACATGTACTTACAGTATACTTCTTTTTGGCAAATTTATAAACATAAAAAGACATAACAGTATGCTTAAAGTATATTTTTTATAAACTTTAAAAAGCCCCAATTTAGCACTAACAAATAAATATACTTTCTAGTACAGTACAAGTACATGGTGCCTAGTATACTTGATGTACTTAAACTTATACTCAAGTATACTTATTAAAATGAACAAGTATACTTTTTGCTAAGGGTCCTGTGGACCAGATCAGAACCACCTCTCCAGGTCAGAGCAGATCCAGGTCCTTCAGTCCTCACTGAGCTCCAGAACCAGGTCCAGGTCTCTGATGCTGCTGAGACCCGGTCCGGTTCTGGTTTTGGACCTGCAGGGACTTTTTTGTATGTTTTCTGTAGATCTGGTTCTGGTCCAGACGTCCTGGACTCCTGGGACCCACGTGGGACGACCAAGAATAGAAATAATTGTTTTTAATGAGATTTATTTTAATCCGGTTCTGATCCGATTGGAGCGGTTCTTCCTGCTGATCCATCATGTTCAATCATGTTTGTTTGTTTGTAAACAAACCCAGGTGGGTTCTGCAGAACCCACAGGTCTGTTGGACTAGCAGCTGATCTAAGACCTGGTTCTGTTTCTGTCCACAGATGAGCGGGACCGAGTCCAGAAGAAGACCTTCACCAAGTGGGTCAACAAGCACCTGATCAAGGTGAGTCTCCAGAACTGGATCCAGACTTTTGACTCAGAAGGATCAGTTTTACTGAGCAGTCAGGTTCTGGTTCTGTTCAGGGTTCCTGGGCCCAGCAGACCCAGGATCCATGGGTTCTGTTTTAGTTTGGATCAGATTCAGGGTTTAGGTTCTGCAGCTTCAGGCTCCTCTCTGCTCCTGACACGAGTGGGAGGGGCCTGTGGTTCAGGGGCGGGGCCACGCCCACCAGAGCCGTCAATCACTTTGTTTAAATTGGAAGCTCCAGATGATTCTGGACACGCCCCCWGCTGCCGTTACCATGGCGACAAGAAAAGGATGAAGCTTCAGGTTCAGCAGCTGCAGGTTCTGATCCGCTCCACTTCCTGTTTCCAGGATTTAGTCTGATCCAGAAACACTGACCTGATGAGACCGTGTGAGGTTCTGGTTCTGGTTCTGGTGTTCAGAGCTGGAGTTTGTCTCAGTGTCAGGATGAGAATAAAACTCTGATTTATTTAAAGTCAGATTAAATCAGATTAAATCAGATTAAATCAGATTAAAACTCCTGAAGTCTCAGATTCTGTCCATAAACCGCTTCTTTCTGAGTTTCTTCCATTTTCTCATCCCTCATTCTTTCCTTCCTCTTGTCTTCTATCCATCCTTCCCCCCTCCTTCCTCTTTTCCACCATCCTTCCTTCCTCTTGTCTTCCATTCTTCTCCCTTCCTTCTTCCCTCCATCCTCTCAGCACTGGAAAGCAGAGGTAGGTCAGAGCCTTGTCTTCCTTCATGTGTGTCCTCTCTGTCCTCTGTCCTCTGTCCTCTCTGTCCTCTGTCCTCTCTGTCCTCTGTCCTCTGTCCTCTGTCCTCTGTCCTCTCTCTTTAGAGCTGAGTGCAGTGATGTTGGTTTTTATCATGTGTTTGTCAGAATGTTGTTTTATTAACAGATCTAACAATCAATCAATCAATCAGCTGGTCCAGTTGGTCCAGCTGGTCCAGCTTATGGTTCCTGTTGGATCAGATCTGATGAAGGTCTTCTTCTCCAGGCTCAGCGTCACATCACGGACCTTTATGAGGACCTCAGAGATGGACACAACCTGATCTCCCTGCTGGAGGTCCTCTCCGGAGAGACTCTGGTGAGTCTTCATGTCTCTGCAGGACTCTGTGTGGTGCTGTTGTCCTCCTGGTCTCTGCAGGACCCTGTGGTCCTGTTGTCCTCCTGGTCTCTGCAGGACCCTGTGGTCCTGTTGTCCTCCTGGTCTCTGCAGGACCCTGTGGTCCCCCTTGGCTGTTGGCTCTAGATGTCTTTGTGTCTGGTTTGGTCCTGCATGTGTCTCAGATGAGTTTGTGTCCACGCTGTTTCTGAAAGACACTAATTTCATTCCTGCTTCCATCCTGTGAGTTCAGTTCTTTCTGTTTTTCTAACTTCCTGTCTGCCCCCCCC